TGCATCTCTCTAATAGCTAATGATCGTGAGCATTTCTTCATATGTTTGTTGGCCGCTTGAATATCCTCCTTGGTGAAGTGTCTGTTCATGTCTTCTGCTCAAAGAATTCTTTTGCAGCAAATTTTTCCAGTGCAACATACTGTTTAATTTCTTGACTGCTACTTCTGTGAGCATTGATTGTGGATCCAAGTAAAATGAAATCCTTGACAATTTCAGTCTTTTCTCCATGTATCCTGATGATGGTTATTGATCCAGTTGTGAGGATTATTGTTTTATTTATGTTGAGATATAATCCATACTGAAGGCTATAGTCTTTGATCTTGATCATTAAGTGCTTCAAGTCTTCTTCACTTTCAGCAAGATTGTATCATAATTATACTGTTGGCAAAAAAATATTGAATATGTCATAGACTGCCACAAGAATAAACAAAACTGCCTCAGAAAGACAGCCAGAATGCTTCTTGGAAGTGAAGATGGTGAGACTTTGTTTCATGAACCTTGGACATATTATCAGGAGGGACCAGTCCCTGAAGAAGGACATCATGCTTGGTATAGCAGAGGATCAGTGAAAAAGAGGAAGACCCTCAATGAGATAGATTGACACAGTGACTACAACAATGGGCTCGAACACAACAACGATTGTGAGGATGGTGCAAGACTGAGCTGCATTTCATTCTGTTGTACATAAGGTCTCTAAGAGTTGGACCTGACTGGGTGACAACAACATAGCTTATCCACATTCCATACCCTTACCATTACTCTGTAACTTACTCATACACTATATCTTACCCATACTCCATATCTCACTCATACTCCTTATAACAATGCAACACACTGCCATGAAGTTGGATCCGACTCACAGCAACCCCTCATTGGGTTTCCAAGGCAGTATCACTACAGAAGTAGATTACCTAACCTTCCTTCCGAGAAGTGGCTGGTGGGTTTGAATAGTCAAATGCCATTACACCACCAGATCTACCAGTATTCCTTATACTTACCCACATTTCATACCTTACTCATTCGCCATACCTTTCCTATATACCATACTTTACCATATTCCATGCCTTACCTTACCTACCACCTTATTCATATCTCATGCTCTACTTGTATTCCATATCTTATTCATGTATTATACCTTACTCCTTGAAAGGAAGATTGGGAAATCTACTTCTGTAGAGATAACACCCCAGAAACCCAAGGAGGGGTCCCTATGAGTCCGAATCGACTCAACGACAGTGAGTTTGGATTTTTTTTTTTTTTTTAATACCTTACTCAGACTCTACACTTTACTTTGCCACATCCCTGACAATTACACCCCCCCTTCCTTTGCTATATATATTTTTTAATTTATCTCAGGATGTTATCATTGAACAGTTTAGAGTTTTGTTGTGGCCATGCAAAATGAAAGCAACATAATCTTTTTGTGATTTTATTCTACTGATGCTATATCCCATTTGGACCAGCATTGGTTCAGCATTGTCACCATTGTCAACCTTGCAAACATCCAGTGGGAAAGTATGAGACGTGAACTAAGGCTGTCTTCCATGGACATAATATTTTGTTTTATAAAGTATGGAAGATATCATGTGTAGTTTTTTGCCCACATGACAAAAACATCCTGTTTCATCTGATTGAAAGTTTCTCTTGAAGCTATCTTGAAGTACTTCTCCTTAATTCCAGAAAGAATGGCACCCAAACCATTTGAGATGGATTATCTAACTTACACTAAGTATTTCCTGGAGAAAAATAAAATCACAACAACAAAACCAGATACCTCCATGGGATATCTTTTTCAGTATATTTCAACTTTTACTGTATATCTAGCCTAAATAGTTTATGCTATAATTTAACTTCATATTCTTTGTCTTAGTAGATACTCCTTAGTAGAAAAGAGATGTTACATTCTATCACCCAAAAAGTGGATTTATATACTCAAAGACAATTATTTAAGGATGTCCCAGACCTTAGATACTTATAGATTTTAGTTGTAGAAAAAAAAAAAAATTTGAAGATTTTTTTGAAAAAAGAATCTCAACATTAATAATGTAACAATTGGCAAGTGTGTATAGTTCAGTTTGGCAGGATGGGTAGTTGTAGGGAGTTTGGGGGCTGAAAGATATTTTAGGACTCATATACCATGTGGAAACCTATTCAGGTAGCATTTCCTGGTAGCCATGTAATCAATTTCAATCTTGCTTCAAGCCCAACACCCCGCCTCATTTCAAATACCCCCAGCAAGTACATTGTTTATACTATCTTGATCAGGGAGTCTGTCAATGGCATTTGTATATTTTATAATTGCTCTTCCAGGGATATGATGAACCCTGGAGTAATGTACTGTACTTGGCAGCAACGGTCTCAGCTTTTGGGCACATATGCTTCAAATTTGAGAATATCATAGATATATATGGGAATCTTTTTAGAGATCTCTGAGGCAAGCTGGTATTTAACGCAAAAGCAAACCCATTTTGTGCTAAAGCACTTTCCATTAGGCAGTTTGGCGGCTGTTCTACGAGGCAGACTCACTGTGCTCCACGGACACATTTCGATTAAATGCTGCTTTGTATTCTTCAAAGATGGGAACAATAAGGACGTTTGTCAAAGGAAAAACTGCAGCAAATGATTTCATGGTGAACATCTGTACTCTGCGGTTCATTGTTTGCAAGAGTTTATTGACCATAATTTTGATGCATATAGGTTTTAAAGAGTATAAACTACATTTATCTTGGGCGCCTATCATTTATTTGAGTCTTGGCTTATTTATTTCCATTTTTTTCTGAGCACTTTATTTATTTTGGGACTATAAGGAGATGAAAGAAAAGATGTTTCTGAAAAAGGAAGTTTTAGTCAGCTCTGCCAAATTGATGAAGAAGACAATGTTTTCACACAAAAGATTGAGCAATTGAATTGAAAAATGTAACACTAAGCATATTGTATCTTTATGATACCTTTTAGCCGTAGAGATCTCAAACCGATTTATAAACTTTAAGACCACTCTTCAAATTCTTTGCCTATCATACCAATGATAGTAACATTTCCAGAGTGAAATGTAGCAGCTGTTAATTAGCAAGTGATTTGGGGGCAGTGGAGTCAGAAACAAATTAACGACATTTTGAATATGACGCTGAATTAAGTTGCTTTCTTTTATATTATAAATGGATGATCTACTGTTTGAAGATGTACGTTTTCTTTTTTGAATTTTATAGGGAAATGCAAAAAGGCGTGGCTATCCACGTTGGTAAATCAGGGTGGCCTTACCAGTCATGATTAGATCATTGATGTTGTCCTGATCTATTAGACTAACTTTGCTACCACAAAAGCTACAAATCAACAACAAAAATCTACCCCCAAACCCAACAAACAAATATTGCCATGAAGTCAGTTCCAACTCATGGCAAATCCATGTGTTACGGAGTTGAACTGCCCCAGAGGGTTTTCTTGCCATACTCTTTACAGAACAGGATCTCCAGGGCTTTCTTCTGCAGCACTGCTGGATAGGTTTGAACCACAAGCCTTTTGGTCCACCTATGAACCTACATAAGTTATAGACCCCTTCAATAGATGAGAAGCAGGCCCTAGAAACTGGCCACCTATAAACATAATAGACTTACTTTCTTGATAAAGCCATAAAAACAAAATTCACTGCCATTGATTCCAACTCATAGCGACCCCTTTAGGGTTTCCAAGGTGGTAAATCTTTATGGAAGTAGATTGCTTGGTTTTCCTTCCACAGAGTGGCTGGTGAATTTGAACCGCCAGCCCTCTGGTTAGCAGTCAAATGCTTTAGGCACTATGCCACCAGAGCACCTTTTTACTCTCTTGATAGGCATTTAATAATAATATATAGTGATGATTAAGAATGCCAACTTCGAAATATGACAGATTTGGGCTGTTTCCCCAACATCAAGTAATTTAATCTTTCATAAGCTTATTCCCCAATCTCTAGAATACAGATAAAATGTTTTCTAGAGTTGTTATAGAGTTTATATATTGTTGTGTATAGTACAGTATCTTACATAGTAAGCTTTCAATATATGCTAGCAGTTTTTATATTCTATCTTATATTATTTGATTCAAAAACTTATCTAAGAAAAATCTTAATGGATTAAGTAACAGCTTTTTATGTATTTATTTGTATTTTGCTTTATCGTGCAACTGCCTTTCTGCAGAGAATAGTTGAAGAAATTGCTCCTGAATAAATAATTAACATCTATTTTTGTGTTTATTTTTCTGTTTGTTTGTAGGGTGTACCCTGGCAGAAACTCAAGATGGTTATGTGAACTTCTTCAATTTGGCTGTTTTGATCTCTGGGTCAAACTGGCACTTAATTTTTACTGTCACTTCCCCGCCAGGTAATTTCACCCAGTGTTTTTGTTTGTTTGTTTGTTAATTAATTATTTCACTTGAAAAAGTAAAAATATGCTGGCAATAAACATTTCTCAGTAGCACTTGTGATTTGAGCTGGTCTTGGTGATCACACTTCCTAGACATTGACTTCCTTCTAGTTTCTACTTCAAACTTGTAGAGTAGACTAATTGAGGAATAAATTGTCTTGCAAAGTTTTTCTTAGTATTTTTCCCTAAATTATTTTTCATAATTTCCAAGACTAAGTCTATGAGATGAAACTCTATTAGAATGAGATTTGTAATAGTTTACACTTAGAAGAAAGTGCATAGAGGATAAAAAGAAATGAGAAACAGAAAGAGCCATGCATTTCTGTGACCCTATATATTATATCATGTTGATTAATGGGACAGACTCTGAGAGTGACTCCCTGTTTCCAAGTATATCAATTCCAGAGCTAGGACAGTTAAGGAAAGTAGCTCTCATTCACATGTTTAGGCTGTTGCTGTTATGTGCCATCGAGTGGACCCTGACTCATAGCGATCCCTCCTTGGGTTTCTGAGGCAGTATCACTATGGAAGTAGATTGCCCAACCTTCCTTCCAAAGAGTGGCAGATGGGTTTGAACCACCAGTCTTCTGGTTAGCAGTCAAGTATCTTAGGCACTATGCTACCAGAGCTCCCATGTTTAGGCTAACCAATGAAATTTCTTGTTTCTAACAGGCTCAAAACAATGAGTGTGACAAGCAAGGATTCATGTTGCTGTTGCTTTAGGTTTTATATATTTTAGTTTCATCAGCCATGAATCAAGCAGAGAGCCTGAAATCATTTTCAGTCTTTTTTCTCCTCTCTCCAGGATCTCAGAGAAAGGACCAAATCATTATTCCTATTATTGAAATACTGGATAGAAACTGAGGAACTGAGAAGTTAAATAAACGTGACTAAGTGTGTATTTTACACGTCTGTATTGACACTTCAAGTCATGGACTAATAGTGCTGTCTCTACCATTGGGAATAGAGGCATTTGTGCCTTAAAATCTAATCCAATTAAAGAACCAATCCAGAAAGCCCAGAACCAATTCAGAATACTCATTCTTAAGATTCTTTTCCTTTAGAATACACAATCTGTATTGATTTCTGTGGCTGTAATAACGAATTGCCACAAACTGGTTGGTTAAAACACAGACATTTATTCTCTCACAATTTCAGAGATCAGAAGTCCAAAATCTGGCAAGGCTCCCTCTCAGGTTTTAGGGGAGAATCCATTCTTTGTGTCTTTCAACTTCTGATGGTTGCCAGATACCTTGATTTGTGGCCACATCACTACGATTTCTTTGTTAATCTTCATATCACCTTCTCCTCTGTATCTGTGTTTTCTGTCTCTTAAAAGGATATGTGTCATTGGATTTAGGGCCTGCACAGGTGTCCAGGATGCTCCCTTCTCAAGATCCTTAAGTATATTGGGAAAGCAAAAGCCATTTTTTCAAATAAAGTAACATTCACAGATTTCAGAGATTAGGAAGTGGATTTATCTCTTTAGAGATCAATCAACCCACTACAGAAATCCTCATAAGTCTTTCTTTTGTCAATGAATCCAGCTCACTCATTACCACATTTTTGAACAAATAAAGCATGCGTTACATGGCTTTTGCAAACTGCACAGCCCCCTCACGTGTTAGTTTCCTATGTACTTTATGTGTGTTGTTTACATGGGCATGTTATATGTGGAAAATATGGTATTTATTATCCAACTCATTATTATTTATTAGCTAACTAATTATTCTGTACTTCCTGAGACATAGCCAAGAGGAAAGGGTAAGTTTGCAGTCTGACTTCCTACTAGGCTTTCCATACAGGAAAAAAAAAAAAAAACTCACTGCCATCGAGTCATATCTGACTCATAGTGACCCCTCCGTAGGTTTCCGAGGCAATATCACTACAGAAGTAGATTGACCACTTGCCATGGTATAGGCTGTGGTTTTTCTAACTGTTTCCCAGAATGTTGGCATTCTCAGGTGCCGCTAGGTTTAGAAGAGTTTGAGAGTGCCAGGGATAGCTCTGCTGTCAATCAATCCAGAGAAACTCTATCTACTTGTCATTGCTATTTCCTTGCCTGCGTGCTTTTCCTGGCAATTCACATGGACCACTCATCAGTTTACTCAGGTCTCTCTTCAAATGTCACCTCCTCAGAAAGTCTTTACGTGGATCATTTAGTCTAAAATGTCATCTCCAGTCCCATCCCCATTTCTAATCATTCTCTGCACTTTTATGCAACTTTGGTCTTCTTTTTTGGCACTTGTCACTACCTGGAGTTTTAAAGCATGGACTTGATTCTGACCCCTGGTGAACTGTTTGTGTCAAAGTAAAACTGTTTTCCCTGGGATTTTTCAGGAGTAGATCACCAGACCTTTCCTCCAAGGTGCCTCTGGGTAGACTCAAGTTTCCAGCCTTTCATTTGGCAGCTGAGCATGTTAACCGTTTGCACCACCCAGGGACTCCCACCTGAAGTTATAATATCCATTTATTTGCTTGTTTGTCTCCTGTCTGTGTTCTGTGTCCCCCATTAGAATATGAGTTCCAAAAGGACAGGAATTCTTCTGTTTAGTCCAATGGAATTATCTTCAGGGTGTAGAAAAGTCTGGTCTATAATGAGCACAAATAAATATTTCCTTATGAATAAGTTGGATCTCGGGTGGCATAGCATTTGAAGTATTCAGCTGCTAACCAAGGGGTCGGTGGTTTGAACCCATCTGCTGCTCTGCGGGAGAAAGATAAGGTAGTCTGCTTCCTTGATTTACAGCCTTGGAAACCCTATGGGGCAGCTGGTCTGCACTGTTCTAAAGGGTCTGTATGAGTCAGAATCAATGCAATAGCAATTGGTCATAAAACCAAAAAAAAAACAAACTTACTGTCATTGAGTCGGATCCGACTCATAGCAACCCCTCTTTGGGTTTCCGAGGCGGTATCACTACGGAAGTAGATTGTCCATCCTTCTTTCCGAGGAGTGGCTGGTGGGTTTGAACTACCAGTCACCTTCTGGTTAGCAGTCAAATGCTTTAGGCACTATGCCACCAGAGCTCCCTGAATATGTAATATGGAGTATATATTGAGATCAAAATTTTTTAAAAATGTCCTGTTCCTAAACATGTTTAAAAGCCAATACTTTCCGCCCTGAGATGTAGAATATTTCTCTAGGGTTATAAAATGGTCTCCCTGGCTTCAGGTTCTTTTCAGCTCTATGGACTGCTTTTCTGTATCCCACGTGGCTCAGGTCAATTACCAGCTCAGAAACTTCTCTTCTACAACACTGCGTTGCCTTCAGAATATAATCAAAGGTCTTTTGCCTAACATTTAACACCCACCAAAATTTGTCTCAAATGCTTGCCACCATTAATTCCCATGATTTCTCAGCATTGATTTCCTAAACAAATTGTCATTTTCTCCTTTCTATCTTTATTTATAGCATTTGCTTAGCCTTCAAAGCCTTATGCAGATACTCCCTTCTCTGATATACTTTACCTTATCCTGCCAATGGAAAGTAACTTCCTACGCAAAGAACTTGCATTATTATGCTGGTGTGTATCACATTCTGATTTGGATTACAAACATTTGTTTCTGTGTCTTATATCACTTCCAAACCAAAAAAGTCACTGCCATCAAGTTGATTCTGACTCACAGCAAATTGGAATTGGATTTCCAAGGCTATAAATCTTTATGGAAGCAGATTGTCTCATCTTTCTTCTGCAGAGTGTCTGGTGGGTTTGAACCACTGACCTCTTGGTTAGCAGCCAAATGCCTTAACCACTATACTAACAGAACTCCTTCTTATATTACTTACTACCTTGAAAATCTTTTAAGAATGGGAACAGTAACCTATCTACTCAGTAAAGTAAACAATCACTGAACAGTAGTTGGAAAATGAATAAAAGAATGAGGACATTTTGTTTTTACTTCTCTGGAGCTCTTGTAAAATTCCCATGTTCTGAGCTTGGTTGAGTTTCTGCAAATGCTCATGGAAAGCAACTAATTGGTAACAAGCAAGCAAATGTGACTCAAGTATAAGATGTGCACTCAGGAGAAACATTTCTAGCTAATTTTGTTAGGGCAGCTGTGGAACAGAGTCAGCCAGAAGTGAAGAGCTTGAAGATCTGACTGTAACTTCGAACCAAACTGTCTGGTTCAGCCCAAGAAAAGCACAGCAAAGAAAAATATGGTGTTTCTTTGACAGAAAATAAAAAGCTCTGTTTTTACTTGGATTATTCAGATCAAAGCAGAGATTTGGGTTTTACTTGTTTGTTTTGAATAAACTACTTTAGAAATTCTGCCTATAACTAACCTATGTTCATGGGAAAGTATTTTTGTTTTATTCTAATTTTTTTTTTTTTAATTGAGGCATAGTGGCTATATGCTGAATTACATGTATTTAAAGCATAGCATTTGATAAGTTTTGATGACTGTGTACTCTCGTGAAACCCTTACCACAATTAAGATAATGACTGTATCCATCACTCCTAATACCATAGGCAAGCTTTAAATTTTTTATATCCTGAATTAATATATGAGCTCTGGTGGTGCAGTGGTTAAAGCATTTGACTAGTGACCAAAAGGTTGGTGTTTCAAACCCACTGTCTGGTCTGTGGGAGAAAGATGAGGCTGTCTGCTTCTGTAAATATTTATAGCCTTGGAAACCCTATAGTGCAGTTCTACTCTGTCCTATGGGGTCAATATGAGTGAGAATTGATTAGATGGCAGTGAGTTTTTAGTGGTTCTAAATTAATGTGTCGTAAAATTGACCCATGTTGGGTATATTGTTTTATAAATTTTAACACATGTATATATTCATTAACCACTACCATAGGGAGGATACAGAACTTTTCTATCACCCCCAGAATTTTCCTCGCAGCTTTGCTTTGTAGTCACATCCCTTCTGCCCCCTCCCCCCCCGCCACCGCTGGCCTCCACTAATCCCTGGCAACTACTGATCTGTTCACATCACTGTAGTTTTGTCTTTTCAAAAATGTAACATAAATGGAATCATATTTTTGAGACTCACTTGTTTTACTTGGTATAATGCCTTGGAAATTCATCCAATTTTTTGTGGGTTATCAATAGTTTTTGTTTGTTTTCAAACCAAAAACCTTTTGTTGTTGTTGTTATGTGCCGTCGAGTCAGACACAACTCATAGCTTTTAGGTGACTAATATTCCTTTGTCTGGATCAACCACAGTTTGTCTATCCATCCCCTATTGAAAGATATGTATGTTGTTTCTGAGTTTTGTTCATTATGAAAAGAGCTGCTATAAACATTTGTGTACAGGTTAATGAGTGTTAGGCAAATTTTCTTTTTAGATTATTTTATGTGTTGCTTCATGAATAATAATGGAATGGGAACCAAGGTTTTTAGTCTACAAAAAGGAAGGCAGTTGCACAGGAATTTTTGGAGCAATGTGTTTTCTAACCAGAAAGTCCCCTATCTTACCCATCATCCTCATAGCCAAAGCAGCTCTAGCTGCCAACATTCTACTCCCAGATTTCCATATAATGAAATTCTCTTGGATATTAGGAATTTTCTTGGCTCTGTAGTAGGAGACTTTTGTCCCTGTTTTGATATGTTATAAACCATCTTTTAAATACGATACTGTTTTGCTTACTCTCTGGTACTGGCTCTGACAGAAATACTACAAGTGAATGACTTTAACAAATAGGAGTTTATTCTCGTATAGTTTGGGAGGCTAGAAGTCCAAGTTCAAAGTGCCATCTCTAGTGGCTGGGTGAAAGCCCCTCAATCTTGGGCTTCAGCTCTGCCTCCTGCTCATGGCCCACTGGAACTAGAGACATCTCTTCACTCAGGCAGCTTCTGACTGCTGAGGCTGACAAACCCAAAGTCAACAAGTAAAATGGCACGGTCCCAAAATTATCAAACCACATAGCAAGCCACTAACTCAAGTTCATTAACAGTCCCAAGATCAGCTGACAGCATGGCAGGCTGCTGCAGGACTTGGCTACATGCAGGACTCAAGCATGCCAAAAGCTGGAAGCCTTCCTCAGAGCTGTTTCTTACATGCTGGAAGCAGACCACATCCCTAAGGCAGCTACTTAGCTGCTCCAAGAGTCCCATGGAGATGATTACTAATCTCCGTGGGGAATAACTACATCCAGCTATCCAGCTGACACTCAAAACCAGTTCCAGCCAAGTTGACACATAACCTTAATGACCACAAATACCTATTTTAGAGCATGTAGTTTTACACATTCTGGAACAGAGAGCATTTCTGTCCTAGTTGGTAGAAGGTAAAGTGAAGCCACGATCTTACATTGGTGAGGAATGTGGCTCACATTGTTACTCCTGAATAAAAGAAGAAAACTGTAAAACTGCCACCTCAGTAATAGATTTGGAAAGAAGATTATATATTATTGTTAAAGTCCTGTAGTTCTTCAGAAATAAAAAAAATTGAATTTATCACTGATTGACTTATTTAATCATTCAATGTAGAAAATATTTATTGCATACCTGCTGTGTGCCAGGCACTATTCTAAACATAATGGTACATTGGTTAAGCTGCTAACAAAAAGGTTGGCAGTTCAAACCCATGAGCCACTCTGTGCTAGGAAAGACCTGGCCATCTAGCCCTGTAGGTTATAGTCAAGGAAACCCCACAGGGCAGTTCTGCTTTGTCATACAGGGTTGTTATGAGTTGGAATTGACTTAATGGCACACAACAAGAGTACTAAAGATATCTTTTCTACCATATTTTAGTATATTAGGATATAATTAATATATTACTATTGCTTTTTTTTTTTTTTTCTAGGAGTCAATCTAACAGCTCGATCCAGGTCATTTGCTATCTTGCCTGTGGCCAGGTCTGAGAGGTCCACCATCATCCTGGCTGCTTTGGTTTGCTCAGCAGTCTCGTGGTTGGCTCTGTGCTGTCTGGTGTGCTGTTGGCTTCGGAAAAGCAAAAGCAGAAGTACATGGTTCTATTTATTTGTTTTTAGTGAAAACATGAAAAAATTCCATCATGTATAATAATGATTCTTTTTCTTCCCCAAAAAGAAATTTCTGATGCTTTGCAACATATATAACACATGAAGTCAAAATTTTCAACTCCTATAGTCTAGCTTACCTAATTTTAAATAATAATAGCAATAATAATGAAGGCTTATCTTTATGGAATGCTTGATGTGGGCTAGGTTCTAAGTACTTTAGATATATTAATTCATTTAAGTCTTATAACAAAACTATGAAGCAGGTACTAAATAGTATGCCACTGTTATGAGTGTGAAAAATGAGGTACAGAAAAGTTAAGTAACTTGCCTAAGTTCACATAGCCATGAAGAAGCCACTTTGGCCCTTGAGCACTCTTTCTGAAACCTATGCTCCACTAGCCCAGTGGACCCTCCAAAAGGTAAGTTAAAGAATCGCGAGGAGGGGGGAATGTTCTCTTCTACTTCAGAGTGCTTGGTGTTGTTTTTCTGGAAGAATAGAAATAAAGTATGTGTTAAAGAGGATCCTTTATATCATTGTTCTTTGTTCTTAGAGTGGAAGAGAGGAAGAAGTAGATCTATCACTGGCAAATTTCTCACTCTACCACTCCCACATTTCAGACCATAAAACTGTTGTTGTTGTTAGGTACCAGCAAGTTGGTTCCAGTCATGGTGACTCTATGTACAACAGAACAAAACACTGCTCGGTCCTGCACCATCCTCACAATCATTGCTATGCTTGAGCCTATCATTGCAGCCACTGTGTCAATCTATCTCATTGAAGGTCTTCCTCTTTTTCACTCGCCATCCACTTTACGAAGCACAATATTATTCTCCATGGACTGGTTCTTCTGACAATATGACCAAAGAACGAGAGCCAGAGTCTCACCATCCTCATTTCCAAGGAGCATTCCTAATGTATTTAATCCAAGACAGATTTGTTTGTTCTTCTGGCACTCCATGATATTTTCAGTATTCTTCACCAACACCATAATTCAAAGTCATCAGTTCCTCTTTGGTCTTCTTTATTCATTGTCCAGCTTTCTCATGCATATGAGGCAACTGAAAATACCATGGCTTGAGTCAGGCACACCTTAGTCTTCAAAGTGACATCTTTGCTCTTTAACATTTTAGAGAGGTCTTTTGCATCAGATTTCCAATGTAATATGTCATTTGATTTCTTGACTGCTGTTTCCATGGCATTGATTGTGGATCCAAGTAACATGAAATTCTTGACCGTTTCAATCCTTTCTCCTTTTATATGGTATTTCTTATTGGTCCAGCTCTGAGGATTTTTGCTTTCTTTATGTTGAGGTGTAATCCATACTGAAGGCTGTAGTCTTTGATCATCATTAATAAGTGCTTCAAGTCTTTGTCACTTTCATCAAGCAAGGTTGTATCAACTGCACATCTCAGGTTGTTAACAAGTCTTCCACCAATTCTGATACTAAGTTCTTCATATAGTCCAGCTTTTTGGATTATTTGAAGAAGACCATCAAATTAGTGGAAGAAATATGACACTAGGAGACCAAAGTTATCATCAGTAATGAGTATAAAAGATGCAAATTGAGAGGCAAAGATAAAAAGTCAAAGAAAGGAAAGAGGAAGTAGCATGCTGCCACTAATACTCTTTACATCTCTGTACTGGGTCTCACCATGTCAACCTTAGAAATATGCTAATATCATTGTTTCATGATGTAGTTGACACCTCTGTGAATGAGATGGTGCTGATTTAGTATAATCAGCAATCATAGGAGGCTTTTTAATTTATTACTTTTTCAAATAAGGAGTGTAGGACATTGTCCTACGCTATCATATGGTTGACAGTGCCAGGCACAATAGCATCTTCTCATGACTTGTAAAAGTCATAAGCAAAAATTCTTTTCATGACTGTTTTGGGGTACTGGAACACATTTCTAAAGGAAGGAAAAGTTTTGTTTCAGTACAACCTGGGTTTGAGGTTTAGTCCTTGCTCAGCTATTTCTAAATTATGATAGCTGAGACAAACCACCTGCTCATTGTTGGGTAACTTCCTCACTGGTCCTTGCTGCCCATTGTGCTGTGGGGCATGAGGTACAGATGGCAAAGTGAGTTTCTCAAGTGAAAAGTGCTTTGAGAATCTGAAAGTCTCATGACCATTTTATTTCCTGAATGTCTGTAAGAATAAAATCACACTCTCGCTATCTGGAGGCAGTAACAGGCTTACTGGGTGGTAGACTGCAGGAATGGACTCACTCTTGAAGATATGCAGCACACAGTAAGTATACCTCTCACCACTTCTGTAGACTTGTTGCTTATTGCTCCTGCCTAGAACCTTTTGCCTGCACCACTGCACCACCAGAGCTCCTTAAACCTACTATATATATATATATATATATATAAACAAGGTCACTGCCATCAACTCTGTTCTGACTCATAGAGACCTCCATATATATATATATAAACAAGGTCACTGCCATCAACTCTGTTCTGACTCATAGAGACCTCCATTGGGTTTCCAAGGTGGTAAATCATTACAGAAGTAAATTGCCCTTCTTTTTTTCTGTGGACTGGCTGGTGGGTTTGAACCACCAATCTTCTAGTTTAGCAGTCAAATGCCTTTGGCACTGTGCCACCAGAGATCCTTTAAACCTGTTGTGAAACCAAAAAACAAACCCACTGCCATTGAGTTGGATCTGACTTATAGTGACACTCCTTGGGTTTCTGAGGCTATATCACTACATAAGTAGATTGCCTAACCTGCCTTCCAAGGAGTGGCTGGTGGGTTTGAACTGTCAGCCTTCTGGTTAGCAATCAAATGCCTTAGGCACTATGCCACCAGAGCTCCCAAACCTGCTGTAGATCCTAATAAATAAAGTCCTTAATTAACACTCAATCCTGTTCTCAGTTCCTTTTTCCTACCCAGAAAGTCCTTGATAAAGAACACTTGCAGCTCCCTAGTTATCATTTGAGCATTTATTTGAGAAGAGGCAAATCACCTGTTCACTCTTGCATAGTCAGTTCCAACTAACAGCCTCAGAAATTGGATTGAAGTAAAGTTGGAGCTATAAAAAGACTGCTGCTTTTCCCCTTTACTGGAGGTACTTTGGGCCACAAATACCAAATTATATCAACCCTGTCAGGAACCAGTGATAAAATTTATAGTGTTGCCTATTGTCTTGATAGGATCACCAGGATGACCAAAAGAAAAAGAAGGTGAGGGTCTTATTCCATGTGGAGGAAAGGGAATCAGCACATAAGTTTGTAGTCCAGCCACTGGCTTCCAGTGATTATACAAATCTTGTTGCTTCCATCAGTGATATGTGTGGGGTCATTCAGCTGGTGGTAGTAGACTATACTCTGGAAGATATGGTCCTTGCCCTCAAGAGGATCACAGTCTAGTTGAAGAGAGAAGAGTAATATCTATCTATGAAATAGAGAACAAGAAAGAGTCAGTGATCCTGTGCCCACCTCTGCACCACTTTTGATGGCATCCTAAGCTTGATAGGGGGAGCTCTGGTGGCCTAGTGCCTAAGGCACTCGACTGCTAACTCAAAGGCTGATGGTTCAAACCCAGCAGCCACTCCTCAGAAGGAAGATTGGGCCATCTACTTCTGTAGAAATACTGCCTTGGAAACCCAGGGAGGGGTTGCAATGAGTCAGCATCAACTCAATGGCAGTGAGTGAGTAACGTTGATAGGAGTGAGAGAAGGGCAGTATCAAGGTTGTTGGAATATCTAGCAAGCAAATTTTTATGTGAAAGGGTAGCATGTTTGTTCACAAGGTCTTCCTATTTGTCCAGGGCATGCTCAGTTTATTGAATTTGGGTTTTTTTTTTTTCCAAAAAAATCTGCTCTAGCCAAGTGGCTCTTGGGCAGTCACTGTTCTGATTGCCTAGTCTCCAGATCCCTTAATCTTCAGGAAAAATGGCAACTCTGTTCTTTCTTAGACTTTCAAAAAAAAAAAAATGAGAATTTGGGACAAGCAGATCTCCAATTTCTATTATAGTTCTAGCATTCATGACTCTGTGGCCCCATAGAGTGCTGGTTCTGGAGAGGATGCTCCTTCCCTTACATATTGTCAGGGTGTTTTTCTTCTGTTTCTGCTGTGGAATATATTGGATTGGTTCCTTACACCTTTGTGCTTCCTTCACTGTGCTTGAATGCTAAGAAATACTGGGGGAAGAGAAGCTCTACTTAAGTAAACAAAAAGAAACTAAACCAGTTCGCTTGAGCTGCATCTAACTCATTGCAACCACATGTGTGCCAAAATATACCTGCGGTCCAATCTTCTGGTTAGCAACCAAGCACATATGCACCACCCTGGGACTCCTCCTCCTAGACTCACACCCTTTATTTTGAATCAACCTTCAACCTGGAATTCCTCCCTCTGTCCCTGTCCTGGTGATGTGGGCTGTATAACCTCTGAGGAAACCCAAGCTCCTTTTTACCTTTTTTCAAAAAGAATAGGATCTCACCTTAGTTCTGCTCTGTGTCGATTATGGTTTGTTGAATAGAAATTTTGTTTGTTGGTTTGTTTTTAATCTAAAGTTCTCTCTGCCTTTTTTGTTTGTTTTGTAGTGCTTTCTGCTTTGTTAAGCAGACTTTGCATAATTTTCTACACCATGTGACCCTTTCAAGTAGGTGATTTAATTCTCATTCTCCATTTTCCAACTATATTTACTAGCCATGCAGGGGCTGCACCCTAAATGATGATAGCCCCACCTCTTCCCTTTTGTTCCACCAACCCTAGAGGTGGAAGCTTCTTCCCATAGTTACTAAGGTAATTTACTGCCGTTCTTTTGCTTTTTCACTCTTCGCTATCTATGGACACCTTTCACTGCATTAAATTCTCATGTTTTCCTGACTGGACACAGACTCTTAACTATATTTTAAAAATAAACAGTAAAGAAATTGGAAAGGAATTTATGAAAAAAAATTACAGTAGTCACTTTTATTTTCTTCTTTATGTCTTTCTGCATTTTCAAATTTCTAAAATCAACATG